CTTAAGCACTGAGCAATCTCTCCAGCCTTTTTAAATTTTTTTTAAAAGACAGAGTCTCATTATATTGTATATTGCCCAGACTGATCGCAAGCTCCTGGGCCCATGTGATCCTCCTGCCTTAACCTCCTGGATTGTAGGTATATAGCTCCATAGTCAGCTACTAGTAAGATTTTAAAATGTCTTTTAAATGTGTGAAAAGAAGAAAAACAAAAAATTGAAAAAGAAGCAGAGCGCTGACCTCCAGCCCTGCATTCTCTTTCCTTTTGTTTACTACCAAAGTAACCTGCTCACCTGCCATCAGAGTTCAGCCTCTAGAATCTCTGATGGTTCATTTTAACAGCTTCATTGGCTTGAGAAGCAACTAGGAGATGAATAAAGCACACCTCTGGGTGTGTCTGCAAGAGCATCTCCAAAGGTGGTTCGCTAACAGAAAGACATACCATGAATGTAGGCAGCAGCAGCCCACGGGCAGGGGACTTGATGGAATCAAAGGGGGAGGAGAAGAAAGAGTATTGGTGTAGGCATCCTTTCTGCTTCCTGGCCACCATGATGTGAGCTGCTCTGCTCTGTCATGCCCTCTCCAGTCCACTGCACTGCAAACAATGGGCAAATTAAATGCTTCCTCCTTTTGTGTCAGTTGTCACAGTGCTGGAAAGGTTAATTATCATGACTTCTCTGAAACCATTCTGATCACCTCATAACTAATTGTACTGCAATTCACATTTTGGTCTCTCAACCAGAGACTTTGGATAGTGTTGATTTCTCTCATTGTAAAATGTAACAGGGAAGCTAAATTTAACTTCAAGTTTGTAGGGCGAGCTGGGAGTGCAGTGGCACATGCCTTTAATTCCAGCACTTGGGAGGCACAGGCAGGTGAGACCGAGGCCAGCCTGGTCTACATAGGGAGTTCCAGGATAGCCAGGGCTACACAGTGAGATCCTGTCTCAAAAAACAAACAAAAAACAAAGCACCCCAATTTGGGCAACTTATTGCTTCTATGAACAACTACCTACCTATATCTTATGCTTTAGTAATTGCTTACATTTTTCAGTGAATGGACAATTCACTGTACATTTCCCTTTTGCGGGATGATGGGGATTTAATTAAGTTATGTATATGCCAGACCAGCTATCTACCACTGAGCTATGTCTCCAGGCATCTGCCTTTCTTTTAGAGACTTTTTTTTTGTCTTTTTGAGACAGCGTCTCCCTGTAGCTCCAGCTGTCCCGGAACTCACTACGTAGACCAGGCTGGCCTCGAACTCACAAAGATCTGCCTGCCTCTGCCTTCCAAATGCTGGGATTAAAGGCGTGCGCCATCACGCCTGGCCTAGAGACATTTTTACGTGGCAGGCTAGTGCCCTATCACTGAGCCACACCCACAGGCCAATTTCTTTTTTAAAAATTCTAGGAGCTGGATCGATAGCTCAGTTGGTAAAGTGCTTGTTGTGCAAGCATGAGGTCCTGAGTTCAATCCTCAGAACCCACATAAACTGAATATGGTGGCATGCATGTATAATCTCAGCACTGGGGAGGTCGACACTGGTGGACTCTGGAGCTTGCTGCCGAGCCAGTCTCATGTGCTTGGTGAGCTCCAGGTCAGTAAGAGACTGTGTTTGAAAAACCAAGGTGGAGGCTAGCGAGATGACTTAGTAGGGCGTGTTGCTTTTCTAAATTCTAACCCGTGGTTAATTTCACAGAAAGCACTGCTGCTTGCTGCTCATGCCATTGAGTTCAGATTTGAACTCAATCCCCAGAACTCACATTGTGGAAGGAAAGACTGATTCCTGCAAATTGTCCCCTGATGTCTGTATACCTACTATGGCACTTGTGGACATGCGAGTGCAGGCAGGTGCATGCATGCACACGCAGTGCATATGCACACTCACACACAAAATTAAAATTGTAGGCTGCAGGTAGTATTCTAGTTACTGCCAAGCCCACTGACTGCTCCCCTTAGTGTATTCAAATTATTTTTCCAAAAAACAAAATTAAATTCCAGTTTTTTGGATGCAAACTGAAGACAGGCTATGTGTCTGCCTGCTTATATAGAAAGAGTTGATGGCAGGGGCTGGAGAGATAGCTCAGCAGGCAATCCATTCATACACATAGAATAAAAATAAAATATTTGCCGGGTGTGGTGGCACATGCCTTTAATCCCAGCACTTGGGGAGGCAGAGGCAGGAGGATCTCTCTGAGTTCAAGGCCAGCCTGGTCTCCATAGTGAATCCAGGCCAGCTGGGGCTACAGGGAGACCCTGTCTCAAAAAAAAAATTACTTTAAAAAAGGAGTTGATGGTGAAACAGATACTAGAAAGATTAATATGGCAGTGATAAGGTGGTATAAATTATATTGGTAAGCTGTCATATTTTGCACTTGTGGACTGTGAACTCTGAGAGCGAAAAGTTCCTTTATCCTAGACTCCAGCTTGTTTATTTCAAGTGTGCCCCAAGACTCCCCATCCTGGGGGCTGGCTGCCTACCCCAGCCCCCCTACTCTGTAACGGAGAAAGTAGAGCAACAAATGGCTCAGGATACTAAAAACATAAGCCATTTTCAACAGAGGTTACTGCTGTTTATCTCATAATATAAAAATGCCTGCAGTTGCCAGACATGGTGTTGCATGCCTTTAATCCCAGCACTCAGGAGGCAGAGGCAGACAGATCTCTGTGACATTGAGTATAGCCTGGTCTACATAGCAAGTTCCAGGCAGATGGCCTACCAGGATACCCTGTCTCAAAATAACAAAATGCATGCAGTGGGAACTGCAGACCAGAAAGTTCATCCATGTAGAAAATACTTTGCCTGGAGCTCTTAGGAACACCAATCTGTTTCAGTAGAATTTCCCTAGTAATTTCTGGTGAATGCTCTGAGCATCTGACTTGATGTTACTTTTCCTTGCGCTCCCAATCAGACTATGCCAATAGTTTCTGCTAAGTGTTGTAAGTGCTTGATTTGACACATTACCATCTATCTATTTACTCTTTTACTTTTTTTGCGTTTAGAACGCTAGGAATGTAAATAATTAGGAATGTAAATTAAGAAGGAATGTAAATAATTTCTTGAACAGCAGTGTTGATGGTTGTGCTGAAGTCCACAGTCACAGACCACTCAGTCAGGTCCAAGTAATGGTTCAGAAGGTTTTAAAAACAGAGAGTCCAAAGATGCTCCCTTGGTAAAGATTTTTCTTTAAAATTTTGTGTCATTTGATGACCACCTGACATTCACTTCACTCTAGTGCGATGCACACAGTACTAAACCAACATACTCATGCATGCCAGGGTGTGGCATTGTTACCATGGGCTCAGAGCACTCGGAAGTACTACCAGGATTTTGTCTCAAGTTTAGCCTTCACCCATTTTCTGCACAGCATCCTCAGGTCAACCAATTGCAAATGTGTTTTGCAGTAATTTGGCTATTAACAATTTTAGACTAACAAATTGAACTAGAACCCATCTGAACATGTTTTGAATTTGTTTTTCCATTTTATTTATTTATTTTTTAATTTTTTATTTCATTGTCCTCATCCTTTTCCAGGATCTTGACAGCAACTGGCACCACTGTGTGGCGGTGGAGGGCCAGTTTGACCTCAGCAAAGCCCCCTTGGCCAAGGGTCTTGGGGATCAGGTAATGATCCGTGAAGATATCCTCTTCAGAGGAGCTGGTCTTCGGGTATGGCTCCATTGTTGCCTCCTCACTTCTGCTTGTGGCGTGCTTGAGAATTTGCGTCGTAAGACAAACTCACAAAGCTAGATCTTAAAAATGAAAAGCATGTCTAGGAGCACAGCCTGGAACCAAAATTCCTACATCAACGAAATCAGAGACATGTCCATTAAGAAAACACCCTCATGTTGATGAGCAAGGTCAAAAAGAATAAGCAGAAACTAAACTCCAAAGCAGTAGATGGTAAAACAATAAAAATTAGCGTTGAACATAATGAAAAACTAGTAAAAAAAAAACAACACAAACGATCAAGGAAGCAAAACCCTTGGTTATTGGAAAGGGTGAACAAAAGTGACAAAACCTTACTCGATCTAAGGAAATAAAAGGAAGCACAAATTGACAAATATCACTGAGGAGCTAGAGAGATGGCTCAGAGCACTGTCTTCTCTGGCAGAGGACCCAGGTTCGGTTCCAAGTACCTACACAGTGGCTTATAACCATTCGTAACTCCAGTTCCAGGGCATCTGATACACTCTTCTGATCTCTGTGGGCATTGTACACACCTGATGCACTTACATACATGCAGGGAAAGCACTCAAACTCATCATTTTTTTTCTTTTTTTGTCTTTTTGCGACAGGGTCTCCCTGTAGCCCCAGCTGTCCGGGAACTCACTATGTAGACCAGGCTGGCCTTGAACTCACAGAAATCTGCCTGCCTCTGCCTCCTGAGTGCTGGGATTAAAGGCATGCGCCACCACGCCCGGCTTTCCATTTTATTTTTTAAGTGAGCACCAACACAGATTGGAAATATGACAGAAACAGTGCACTTTTCTCCAATACTGAATCCATTACGTACAAATGTCAGAAAAAGGTGAAGACAACTCATTAAAAAAACAATTGCCTTTGTTACTGAAGCAAAATAACCTGGAAAAATGCCACCAAAGAAAATGAAAACAAAATCCCAACTCCACAAATAGTTTGTAAACACAAGCATAATGAGACAGACCTGTAGTAAGCAGTATCTCTGCACGTTGGGGAAAGAGAACCCATTCCCCTCCTTCACCAAATGTTGTAGAAAAAATACAGGCAGATAAAATGTATAAAGCGAATAACTTCTTTCTTCTTGGATTTATCTGGGTTCTGGATTTCTTGGATTTATATGGGTGCCAGAACCACTTTTCGATTTTAATACAAATGCCTGGCTGAGCTTCATTGTCTAGCTGTATGAAAAATGGGTCTGCTCAGAGTATTCATCATTAGCCAATGGAACTTTTAAGGAGCCCACTAAGTGCTTCCTTATCACTAAGTTAGTATAAGTATGTGTGCATGTGTGCTGTAAAACTGATGTAGAGCTTGATGTTTAGGGGACAGGACCACCAGCCAATACATACAGATTTTGTGTGTGAACAGAAGGTACTTTTTAACATTCAGTTTTGCTATATAGAAACAATGAATAAATGAACTGTTTTTTCTCTCTTTGCTTTTCCTTTTTTAAATTTATTTTTTGGAAGCAGTAAGTAAGAGATTCAATTCGATTCTTCTGGAGGGGGAAGAGTAGTTGAAAAGTAGGTCTTCATTTTGCAATCATCATCTGTATGAATTCTTCATAGCTGACTAGTCCGTCTCCATCAATATCTGCTTCTTGGATTGCTTCATTGACTTCTTCCTCTGTTATTTTTTCTCCTAAGACTGTTATGATGTGATATAGTTCTGTCCCACTGATGAAACCATTTTCATCCCTGTCAAACACTCGGAAGGCCTCCCGGATTTCTTCTTCGCTATATGTAACTTTCATTTCTCTAGCCATCATAGTCAAGAATTCTGGGAAGTCAATGGTGCCCTTCCCATCAGCATCCACTTCGTCGATCATATCCTGCAACTCAGCTTCTGTTGGGTTTTGACCCAGTGACTTCAGGACAATCCCAAGTTCCTTTGTTGTGATGGTACCATCACCATCTTTGTCAAATATGGAGAAAGCTACCTTGAATTCTTCAATCTGCTCTTCAGTCAGCTGATCAGCCATGGTGCGAGCAATGGGAGGAAGAGCAGAGCAGGCGAGGGAGGCTGCACCAGCGCAGGGACTGTGACCGTGGGTGCCTGACTGCTGCTGCTGGGGCTGCAGCTACTGCTGCGGTGGCGGCGGCTGAAGACTGGGTGCGCTCTGCGCTGAGGCCCAGTCACCGACTGCTCAACGGTCCAACTGCGGGTAACCGCACCGCGGACACGAGACTCCCAATTCCAGTGCCACCAGCCCCAGTTACTTTTACTTTTGCTTGCTACATGCTTAAGAAATTCACTCATTCAAAATCCAAAGTACTGCTGTTGTTGACCACTCCCTGTATAAACGGATGGATGAAAAGAGAGTTAAGATGCTTGAAAGGAAATCAAGGGTCAAATCAGCACACGGCTGGGGAGGACAGAAGACTGATGTTGAGAAGATTGCATAGATTATGCAACAGTGGCATTGCAGGAAGGAAGAACATTCAGCATCTCCAATAACATTAAGCTCTAAGCCAACGACAGGAAAGCCACGAGAAAATTGGTTTGGCCAAGTGTTACAAACGAAATTTTAAAAGCAGCCTAAAGTTGCGCTTTGCCTTCATGGAGGCAAAGTGTGACAGCAAGTCTTTTAAGCTTTGATTAGACACCAATGTGAAATGACGTGGGGACTGGTGCTTCAGTTCTGGGCTGGTGAAAGTCAGTCTGTGGTAGAACACTTGCCTAGCAGGTTTAAGGCCCTGGCTTCTACCCCATAACAAAACAAAAACAAAACCAAAGCAATAGCAAACACATCTCAGATTAAATACCTTCCAGCCTGGTGAGGTGGTACCCACATTTAGCCCTGGGCAGACCTGAGCTGAGGCCAGCTTGGTCTACATAGCAAGTTCAAGGTCAGCTAGGGCCACATAGTGAGAGCCTCTTGGGACTGAGGAAGGTGGGTTGACATATAAGCCACGCTAGAAAGACTGGCAGAATAAGCAGTGCTTCAAGAGGTCATGTACTTTTCCTGTCTGGAATCCCTGCCGCTAGTACAGTGACATATCTGGCTGTAGACATGTAGCTGTGTAAGTCCGCCCAATTTTCTGAATTCTTCAGAAGTGTAACCTCACCTTTCTTCTTTTTTTCTCATTTCTAAGCATTCTTTCCCTAACACTTCGGGCTTCCCCAACATTTTGGGTTTCTGTACTCTTTCTCTAAAGGTCTCCTCCCTGCCATGTGCCTACTTGTCCTCCTTGAGTCTGACCTCCATGCAAGCTTATGGCCTGCCTTTTTAACTCCCTTCCTCCTCTGGGCAGCTGCTGAGATTTACAGCTTGCCTGCCTTGGGTTTTTCTTTAAAACTCCAATGAAATGGTCCTTAAGCTTAAAAAAAAAAAAAAAGTGTTTCAGGTAAAATCTAGAACTTTTTCAATGATCTATTACCTTCTTTAAAAATTTTTTCTTAAAAAACATTATGTATGTGTTGCCTGCATGTATGTAAGTAAACTACACACTGCTTGGTGCCTGCAGAGTCCAGAAGAGGGTGTCAGGGTCCCTGAACTGGAGTTATAGACAGTTGTGAACTGCCATGTGGGTATTGGGACGTGAACTCCATTTTTCTGCAAGAGCGCCAAGTACTCTTAACTGCTGAGTCATCTCTCCAGCTAATAGATTTTTAAAAATTGCTTCTATATTATTTTTAATTACTCTGAAACAAACTTTGATAGATGTCTAAGAATCATCCATTACAACTGTTAAACTGTGAAATCAGCATTACTTGATTCTAATCATATGAAACTCATCAATTTTTCTTTCCTTTTTTTTTTTAAGACAGGGTCTCATTATGTAACCCTGGCTGTTCTAGAACTCACTATGTAGAACAGAGCAATGAATGCATACATGCCTGCTCATGCTCAACTTGATTTCTCTTACATCGGCTAGGATCCCTTGCCTAAGGAAAGGTGCCAACCCACAATACATGGGCTGGCCCTTCCTACAGGAATTAAGAATAATTCCACACAGACATGCACATAGGCCAAGCAAAAGTAGATAGTCCATCGATCCTCTCTTCCCAGGTGCTGCTGGGTTGTGTGGCGTTGACAGGGCTAACCATCACACAAGCCCATAGTTGAAGGAACTGAAGTATGGTGTGGGGAGGGCAGAGAGGGCAAGAAAGCACTGTAGCACTTCAGCCGGTAAGAGTTTGCTGCTAAGAAAATACCTTTTTTGTTGTTTTTCAGGGACAGGGTCTCCCTGTAGCCCCGGCTGGCCTGGAACTCACTATGGAGACCAAACTGGCATCGATCTCACAGAGACTCTCCTGCCTCTCCCTCCCAAGCGCTGGGATTAAAGGTTCACGCCACCATGCCTGGCTCTAAGAAAATATCTTTAAAGTCATTCAATATTTAGGTCACAGATCTAGTTTCAAGTTTTTTTTAACTTTAAAAAAAATTATTTTTATGTGTACGTGTGTATTGCCTGCATGTAGGTAAGTAAAACCGTGCCCGAGGAGGTCAGAAGAGGCTGTTGGATCCCCTGGGACTGGAGTTAAGACAGTTGTTAGCTGCCATGTGGGTGCTGGGATTCAAACCCGGGTCTTCTGCAAGAACAAGTGTTCTTAACTGCTGAGCCATCTCTCCAGCCCCATCTAGTTTCAGGGTTTTTAAAAACAATGCTAGAACCTCACATGTGCAGCACGTTTTGCAACTGAACTACATGTCCAAACCTGAACTTTTATTTACTATGCTGAGGATCAAATCAGGTTGTTACTGCTCTACCATCCCTAGACCTAGATAAACTTCCTCCATGGAACAAAAAATGCATTTTTCTTTTTTTATTCCTTCTTCTCTGAACCATGGTTTGTTCCCATAACCTCACACATGCTAGGAAAGCACTTTACCACTGAGCTATATCCTCAGCCTAGAAATTCTTTTGGTTGTGTATGAACACTTTTTTTTTCTTTTGAGACAGTCTCGCTGTATAGTCCAGTTAGCCTGGAATTTGCTATGTAGACCAGGCTGGCCTTGAACTCAGAGAGAGCTGCCTTGTCTTACACATGCAGGAATTAAAAGGGCCCTTCCTCAAACCTGGAGCTCCTGGGTTTGGCTACTTTCTGGCCAGTGAGCACCTCCCCTGTGCCTCGCTTTCCCTGGGTGCTGGGGATCTGAACTCAGGCCCCATGCTTCCACAGCAAGCGCTTTACTCACTGAACAGTGCTCTCATTCTGCAAGAATTGCTTTTGAGATGAGATCTTGCTTTTATCCCCCACCCCACCCCCACTCAAGCTGGTCTCCAACTCCTGGACTCAATCCTCGCACCTCAGTCTCTGCTGAAAGTCTGGGTATACACCACTGCACTTAGTTCAAGAAATTTTTGAGTTATACACATTGAAAGTACATTAATTACACAAGATAGAATTAAGGCAAAAAACCTGGGGTCAATTTAATGATTCATTTATACATCTACAAACAAAAACTATAAAATATTACATACAATTTTTATTTCTAAAGTTTAAAGTCTATTAAAGTTTAAATAGTTCCTGGCAATCCATTTTGACACAATGAAAGTTAAATTAACCACTTGTTATTTTTGTTTTTTGAGGCAGTCTCATTATGTAGACCAGGCTGTCTTCAAATTCACTATATAGTTGAAGCTGACCTTGAACTGATGGGTCTTCCTGCCTCCACCTCCCAAGTGCTAGGATTTCAGCTATGTACCACCATGGCTGGCTAAATCAGTTTATTTTATAAGCCTAATAGAAACTCAACCTGGAGAAGGATGCAAACAATCAGCAATGATGATTGGTCAAAAGGTGTTTTTGTTTTGTTTTGGGGCAGGATCTCACTATGTATCCCTAGCTGCCCTGGAACTATGTAGACAAGGCTAGCCTTGAACTGCCTCTGCTGGGTTTAAAGGCCTATACCACCACGCCCTATGTATCCCTAGCTGCCCTGGAACTATGTAGACAAGGCTAGCCTTGAACTCAGAGATCTGCCTGCCTCTGCTGGGTTTAAAGGCCTATACCACCACGCTGAGGAGCCAACAGATTTTTTTTAGTCTTTTTGAGACAGGGTCTCCCTGTAGCTCCAGCTGGCCTGGAACTCACTTTGTAGACCAGGCTGGCCTTGAACTCACAGAGATCCACCTGCCTCTGCCTCCCAAGTGCTGGGATTAAAGGCGTGTGCCCACCACACCCCACAGATCTTTTTAAATTAAAAAATTTTTTTCATGTGATGGGGATCAAAGCCAGAGCCTTGTACATAATTAAGCATGTACTCTACCATCGACCTACAGCAGATAGCAATTTAAAACAAAACAAATTTGATCTGACCAAATACACAACTGAAGTTTTAATTTTATTCATTCTCTTTTTGTTTTTTGAGACAGGGTCTCCCCATAGCCCCAGCTGGCCGGAACTTATTATGCAGATCACAGTGGTGTTGATCTCACAGAGATCCACCTGCCTCTGCCTCCTGAATGCCGGGATTAAAGGTGTGCACCACCACACCCCAGCTCATTTTATTTTATAAAACAGTTTTATCCAATATATCAAAGGCAACAACTTCAGAAGAAACGATCTGCCTAGATGGTGCCAAACAACAGTTATCTTCTGTTGAAATAAAGTGAACTTTTTCAATTTTAGTTTGCATTTGTGTTGCAATGTGAAATAAATAAACTGCTTCAGCTACTGTCTTGACAGTCTGTTTTCCTATATCACTATGTCATCCAAGCTTTCATCATAGACCCATTTAAAGACAGTTTCTTCAGATTGTTCGATAGCTTCAAAGAGTCTTTTAAAGTCTTGAGGGTACATTCTAAGGACCGTCTCTCCAGGATTTCTTCTTATCTGCCGCAGTATATCCCCTGGATCAACCGTACTCAGTGAACTGAAAAAAACACAACAAAAAACAGAAACCATGTAACTATTAGCTGGCTTCTAAGCCCAATTAAAAATGACTGGCATATAATGAAAGTTCTTTAGCTTAAGAACTTGCCTGTAGTATATACACTTTGTTTCTTCGTAAAGATTCATAGTTAACTTGTAATAAAAATAACAAATTTAAGCTTTAATAAGTTCTAATTCTCAAAACAATCCTAGTTTACTCATCTTTTTAAAATAGGTGGTACATGCCTTAATCTCAGCACTCTGGAGGCAGAGGTAGATCTATGGATACAAGACCAGGCTGGTCTACTTAGTAAGTCCTTGTCTCAAAATAAAATGTAAAATATTAAAAAGATAATAAGAAGTGGCTCAGTGGTAGAGGGCATGCCTAGCATTTGTGTTCAAGGCCCTGAGTTAATCCCCAGAAATACCAAAAACAAAACACACATTTTATTTATCTCTTTCACCCATTTGTATTTACTCCCTGTGATCAATGTGTGAATGTACAGTCTGAGGATCCAACCCAGGGCCTAATGAACGCTAATCCACACTCCAACAATGGGTTACATCCCTGCCCTACAAAAATATCTCAACCCCATTTTGGCTTATGTAAAAGTTCAGTAAGTACTAATAGCACAAAGTTGGCTGCTTGGCAATTTTTAATCATTTCCACATTTTCATGTAGCAATCTCTGGCCAATAAATTAACAGAAAGCTTTCCTTTTCATGTGTCTGTGTGTAAACACAGAGGCCCAGCACTGACACTGGGCATTGGTCTCATCTGTTCTCCACAGTATTCACTGAGGCAGGTCTCTCAATTGAGCCCAGAGCTTGCCAACATGTTAACAACTGGTGAGTTTGTGCTAAGGATCCCTTGTCTTGGTAGGCTGTCACACCTTCCTGGCATTTATGTGGGTGTTGGGAATCCAAACTCAGATCTTCATGTTTGTGTAGCAAGTATTTTACCTAATGAGCCACTTCCCCAACTCAGAAAGTGTTGTTTTATGTTAGTTGAGCAAGAAACTATCAAAAAACCTCTGGTAATAAGAAACCATTAATAAACCTCTGATAATAAACAATGTAATAAAATATTTTGTTAGAAATTAGTTCCAGTACTTTTCACATTGAACAGAATGTTAGCCACCCTAGAGATCTCAAAGGAAAATTTTAAAACATCTTCCATATTTCCCATTCCTCTTTTTAAAATGAGTCTTATGTATCACAGGCTAGCCTTGAACTTGCTATTATTTTTTAAAAAATATTTAATTAAAAATTAATTGGGGGGGGCTGGAGAAGACAGCTCAGTGGTTAAGAGCACTGACTGCTCTTGCAGAGGACCTGGGTTTGATTCCCAGCACCCACATGGTGGCTACGAAACATCCTTAACTCCAGTTCCAGGGGAATCTGAAACCCTCTTCTGACCTTCGAGGCATCGCACGACACGGGTGCACTCACATACATGAAGGCAACACACTCATACACATAAAAAAATAAGATAAAATTTAAAAATAAAAATTTATTTTTTTATTTTTAGGTGTATGAGTATATTGCCTACATGTGTACCCATGCCATGCAATGCCCACAGAGGTCAGAAGAGGGCATCGGATCCCCTGAAATTGGAGTTATGATGGACAGTTGTTAGCTGCCATGTGGACGATGGGAACCAAACCTGGGTCCTCTGAAAGAGCAGCCCGTGCTTTTAACTGATGAGCCATCTCTCCACCCCCTGGTTTATTGACATTTTGAACTTTTGTGTGGTTTTTTGGGATGGGGTTCATTCCATATCCCAGTCAGGTCACAAATTTACAATATAGGTCCTGCTAGCCTTGAACAGTAGTAAGCTTCTATCTGCAAGTGGCCAATATGTCTTTACCACTTAATGTTATAAGACTTAAGCAGTAAGCGGTCTACTTTGAAGCACATCCACACTCTGAATACACTGCAAAGTATACAATAGAATGAAGAATCCTGCTTTGTCTAATTAGTCTAAGTAAAAAAATGCATGACTTTAAATGCTGAAGCCTTCTGTTAAAAGTCAAGTTTTAAAAGAAATGAATTGTAATCCCAGCACTGGGGAGGGTGGGGACAGGCAGATCGCTGACAGATTGAGGTGAGCCTCGTCTACATAGCGAGTTCCAGGCCAGCTGAGGCTACAGGGAAATCCTGTCTCAAATATACGTCCAGTCATTTGGCCCCATTTACTTGGGGTAGGGTCACATGGCAGAGGAGGTTCTTCATGAGGGAGGGAAAAGGAAGGAGAGGGAGAGGGAGAGGGAGAGGGAGAGGGAGAGAAAGAAAGAAAGAAAGAAAGAAAGAAAGAAAGAAAGAAAGAAAGAAAGAAAGAAAGAAAGAAGGAAAGGGAAGTAGGGAGGGAGAGGAAGGGGGGTGGAGGGGTGTGTGTGTGCACACCTTTAATCCCAACACTCAGGAGGCAGAGGCAGGCAGATCTCTTGTGAGTTCAACATCAGCCTGGTCTACAAAGTGAGTTCTAGGGGCCACCTGGGGAGACACTATCTCAATAAGACCAAAAAAAAAAAAGACGAGAGATTTCTAGTCAATAGTGCTGTAGGTTTATAGGTTAAACAATGATCTGATAATGCCTTAAATGATTAGGGGCTAATTACAAGGTGAAGAACACACTACACATTAGCCCTATATAGAAATGGGTAATGATGGGGCTGGAGAGATGGCTCAGCAGTTAAGAGCACTGACTGCTCTTGCAGAGGACCCAGGTTCAATTCCAAGTACCCACATGGTGGCTACAAACCATCCTTAACTCCAGTTCCAGGGGAATCTGAAGCCCTCTTTTGACCTCCGCTGCACTGCATGACACATAAAAATAATAAAATAAATTTTAAAAAAAAAGAAGAAAGAAAAAAAGAAATGGGTAATGCTACCTAGAACTCATATACAGCTTTCAAAAGCATGAAATGCTGTCCAGGGCAAGAAGCAGAGTAGTATAATGATCTACCCCCACTCTGGTCAGGAAACAGAACCAATGAACAGGCAATGATGCAGGTATTTAATAGATGGCAAAAAATAATAAAATAAATTTTAAAAAAAAAGAAGAAAGAAAAAAAGAAATGGGTAATGCTACCTAGAACTCATATACAGCTTTCAAAAGCATGAAATGCTGTCCAGGGCAAGAAGCAGAGTAGTATAATGATCTACCCCCACTCTGGTCAGGAAACAGAACCAATGAACAGGCAATGATGCAGGTATTTAATAGATGGCAGGCATGTCACAGCAAAACGTAGAAAATACAATGCACAGATACAACGCACAGCAGAGACGATAGACTGATTTTTTATTTTATTTAAATTTATGTGTGTGTATACTATGTGTGAGTGTGGCTGTCCCAGGAAGCCAGAAGAGGGTGTTGGATTCCTTGGAGCTGGAATTACATGTGCTTGTCAGCTGCCCAACACTGAGTCCTCCAGAAGAGCAACAAGTACTCTTAATCACCAAGCCATCTATCCAGTCCAGAAGAAAGTGTTTTCAACCGTGAAACATGGGTATGCTTCACTTGAAATCAAGATGTTCTAGGACAGACTTCTAACACAAGGGATAGTCACATTAAATTGCTTTTATACTTGTCTTTATTTTTATTTTTACTTACCGTAAATGATGTAACAGTGGGGCATTACGTTTCCCAAAGCAGTGCTTCACCATGTGAAAAAATATATCATAGTTAATAGGATTTAAGTTTTCTGTAAATAAAGTTTTACGAGGTGTCATCCGAACAAGATGTAGGTTTTGGTGCATTTGATGTAATGGGTCCTGGACAGAAATAAAGTGCAGTCAGTCATAAAATACTATCAGAGTAAATAAATGCTATACACTTATTCCCTCAAGATACTCGTTGGGACGGCCCCATTTCTCTAAGTTTTCTTGTTGTAGGTCTAACTCTTTTTAACCTGGGTCACTTGAGCACTGTAAGTGACCTTGAAGGATGAGATAATGACTCTCTGCAGGACTAAAAGCAGTGCTGCTTACTGTTTACTGTAAAGGAGAAGTATGCTTGGTAAACCACTGAGCCATATAGTGGGCTAAAGTTCAAACAAAATCCTGTATCTAATCAAAATATCCCTGTCTCTGGCCAACAGTGAAAGTCTATTAACTTGTAAGTAGAATAAAAAACAAAGTTCAAATGTAACATCAACATGAACTCAGTCCCTGCTGTGTTCAAGAGATACCACCACCACCACCACCACCACCAGACCTAAGTATTATTAAAATTTCTTTTAGTTTTTCTAACTTTCTTTTATTAAACATACATTTATTTCTTTTGTGTGCATGCATACACACACACACACATACACTTAGTATTCTAAATTAACGATTTAAATGTCTACAGAATAAAGATATTCTTAAAGAAAATAAACGTTCCATTAAGAGGTAACTGGGAATAGCACTGTTCATTCTTACCCTCCGCTTTGACTTTTCTAGGTGCCCACTTTCAGTATACAGACCAAATGATGACCAGTGTTCCTGGAGGGAAGAAAAACAAACACAAGGTATTTTTTTCCTGTATGTCTATGTATCTGTGTGGTACATATACATATACAGGCATGTTTTCTACTATCATTCCTTTTTTTTTTTTGAGACAGGGCCTCACTATATAGCCTTGGCTGGCCTGGAACTCACTATGTAGACCAGGTCTCTGCCATCTTTTTTGAGACAGGGTCTCTCACTGAATCTGGAGCATATAGATTTCAAAAGACTCTAGCTAGCTAGCAAGGCCCAGGGTCTTCTTGTCTCTTTCTCCCAATATGAAGACTGTAGGCATGTACTCTCAGGCCTGCGTTTTACATAGGTATTGGGGATCCAAACCCATGTCCTCATGTTTGCATTATAAGCACATTACTGAGCCATTTCCCCAGACCCAAGGTGTTCTCGTTCTCTCTCTCT